CAGATTTGAAATATTTAAAAAAACGTTAACCGTATAAATTAAAACCCTTGATTGAAAACCTTACAATGACATTTGTAGGGTTTTACAAGAAAGTTTTGTTTACAGGAAATATTATCAAAATAAAAAGTTGTCAAAAAAATTTGTCAATTAGCAAAAAGAGCATACCAACAACAAGAGGTTTCAAATTAATTCAGTAATGTGAAAGATTCGAACTTAGACTTTCAATTTATGTTAGTAAAACATTGAGAATCAGTTATTCTAGTTGAGCTACAATAGTTTATAAAATCCATAATAAGTGTTCGGTAAAACCTTTATTAAAACTTCACATCCAGCAACATCCAACTCTGAGCAACAAAGTCAAATGGCAAGAAGGCAACAAATAAGTTGTTAACAAAGATAATTACAAAGTCAAGTGAATGTAACAGCAACAGCAGCAGCAATAACATAGATTCCAATTCGAAACATGTCAAAATTAATGATCTATTTGTGTTAAGATTATTTGCCATTGTTATTTATTGCAAATAAAGCTTCCTTATCTCCTACAATACAATCGTAAAAATCTTAACATGTGCTAAAGAAATAGAAAAATGAAATGGACGTAATGTAATTGGAAAAAAAAGTTATTTTTGCTGATAAAAATCTATTGAACCTGCTTAGTTTGTTACTTTTTTCAGTTGCCATTCACTCTAGTACTTGTCTGCTAACCTGATGTAGACAAATCGCGTAATAATCTCTAACAAATAGAAGTCGATACATAACATTGTGTACAACAGTGCATGCTGTCAATGAGAATGAATTGGAATTGAATAAATACAATGTATGCTGAGAAATTCTCTCCTAGGATTTGCTACAAATTATCAATAGATTAATTTTATTATCTTTCAGCCACCAGTGAATGCGCAATTATTTTTTAGTAATCAAACTTCATTTATTAAATTCGCATAAACTACGAGGCTATGTGCTGTAACTCGCTTATGCCCATAATAATCTCAAATTTCCATCAGGCATTTCCATTTATTTATCTTCAGTGGAGGTCGAGACTTGCAATCGTAAAGACAACGAGAGGTTCAGAGTTGGTATAGCTATAATGGATGTTTAGGTTGGATGTAGACTAAAGTCATCTATTAAAGTCAGTGCCCTTATTTAACACAGGCTGGCGCTATTAATGGAATAATATGAACCAACAATCATTTTAAGCTAAGACACCAATCATATTTATGCCAATACACCCAGCTATCTTAGTCAATACACCTATCTATATTAGCGAAGACATTCCAGAAAACGAGTGTGTCTGCCTGTCAGGCTGACTAAATTTTGACGTATCTGAAGTAAAAGGCAGCTGCGAGTTGATTTCATGTACATATAACAACTCCCAAGTCAACAACACTGCAGAGGATCTTTAAATTGCAAGATTTACATCGATTAGACTTAGCATGAGCAAGAAGGATCCGAGAGACATTAACTTTGCATAATAGAAGATGAAATATCTCAATCTTTTATGCTTCTGTGCATATAATGCAACCTGACTTCAACGGCAACTTAATTTTTTATGCAATAGTGGTAAGAAAGACATAGGAATGGAGAAAAAAACTGTGAATTTATTTATTTAATGTGCATTTCTCATGCTGTCGAGATTCTTCTACTTTATATTTTTCTTATGGCGAATGTGAGAACAAAAAAAAAAGATGCTGCATATTTACTCTTTTTTTGTTGCTTATTCCACTCTGCCCGAGATAGCAATCTTCCTTACTTGATGATACTTTATTGTGAAAATAAAAAAGAAAATAAATATGTGAGACTTTATAAATGATTCAATTAATAAAAATTTGAAGTTGATAAATTAATTGCGCTTACTCAAATCGAGTCAATGAGCTGGGATGAATATCGGAAGCAGTTGATCGACACAGTGGACTACAGGTCTCTATATATCTCTCGAGCAAAGCGTCCTTTCGTAATGGAGTTAAACCCCTCGAGAAGGTATGCCCAAAAAAAGCTGTTTCTATTTCAAGCTTACAATTATCAAAATTTAGGTCACCTTCAAAAATCTCCAAAAATATTAATGCACACCTCGGGAAGACTGTGCATTGAACAATTTTCTTTATCAATGACCGATAAGAAACAACCTAAATTCACAAATTGAAGTTCATTGCCTGTGATAAAAAGCAAAATCTAACCTTGATACCATTTTCTTACCGCTTACGTTGCATAAGACCTTCATGATAAAGCTCTCAATGAAAAGAAAAAAAAAACTTGGTCATTCAGGTCGATAACCGGAGCTGCTTCAAATTGTATTTTGATAGAAATAATGATAAGAAGGGAAATTCAGCTATTGATATGATATAAGTATAAAATGAGAAATGCCTTAATTTCTTGAACTCAGTTATCGTTCATTCTTAATAAAGTTATGAAGGCATTTTTAGGTCAGGTTCTTTTGGTATACATTTTGTGGATCTGTCAAGCATATTGTGACACAGCATGTTCAATCCAAAATGAATATATTGAGGTCTATTATAACAAAGGAAGTTTGTGGGCACGAAAGTTTAGAGATTCATGGGGCAAATTCCCATCTGGGATATTCTCTGGAAATCATTTTGACTTTGGACATTTTGATCAGTGCCTTAATTTTAAGCATTATTCTGAGCATGTTAGTGAAATTCAAGGACAATATTGTCTGCTGATGTTTCCGTATGATATGAAGAAACAGGAAGTTGACATTTCTCCAATATTTGCACCTCAACCTTACTCGTAAGTTCATGTTGAGTTTTGTATCTAATCTAGGTCAAGCCTTAGAACTCAAGTTTAGATCAGAATGGGGCTGAATAAGCAGTTTTCTATAATAATCCATGCCTTAGTTTTTAATAAGATTCAAAATTTACTTACAACTCAATTCTTTCCAATCAATTCAGTTCCAAAATCAACATCGGAATTGGAATTTGCATCCCCCGTACATGTAAAGATGATGAGATAAATGTAGTTGCCAATTCAACTCTAATGACATTGACCAACATATCTTTACCTACTTCATATCAACCTGATTTGTTTTGTAGTGTAAAACGTGACAATTTTATGCTCAATCCTCTTCAGATAAGTGCCATGTGAGTAATAATACCTGAGTAGCTGATAAGACTTTTAGTAGAAATGAGTAGATTGAGTAGCTATTGATATTTTCTAGTGTCATTTTTTCTGTGCTGATTATTTTGATAATTTTGAGTACTGGATATGAAGTTACATCCAACTTGCTTAATCGGAAAAAGTCACCACTCTTCTCTTCCTTCTCACTCTATTCAAACTCAAAAGGAATCATGACAATGAAGGCATCATCGTCTAAAGAGATGCTTTTCTTACATGGAATAAGGTCACTAGCTATAATCTGGATTGTTGTTTGCCACACCTACACAAATTTTTGGCAAGTTCCTGTTTTTAATTCGCAGCAATACTTTGAATGGATCAGGCAGATATCAGCTATGTTCATTTTATCGGGTGTTATGGGTGTTGATACATTCTTTTTGATGTCATCAATGCTGCTTACAATGAGTGTGTTTAGGGAGCTGGATAAGACGTAAGTTTTAACTCCAGATTGAATTTTAAGGATTTAATTGCTTACTTTTACTTAATTTATAGGAACCGCATCAACTTGCCACTCCTTTACATCAAACGATTCATTCGCATCACCATTCCATTAGCAGCAGCTTTACTTTTCATTCTAACTTTCCTTTACTATCTCTCTGATGGACCTATATGGTCTCTATCGATTAAATCTACTACACTGAATTTCTGCCAGGATTATTGGTGGACGACATTACTTTATATTGGAAATCATGTAAATCCAGGCGAACTTTGTTTTGGACACAGTTGGTATTTACAAGTGGATATGCAGCTATACTTTTTGTCACCGATAATTTTATATCCTTTATGGAGATTCAGAAAGCACTTGAAAGTCATGGTTCCCTTGATATTTTTGATAGCAAGTTCATCAATCATCTACATGTACCTGATATTTTATTTGAATGGATTTCGAGTGACTTTATTAGATGAACAAGGAATTAGAAGAGATCAACTGACTTATTATGCAACACAAGCTAGAATTGACTCGTGGATGATGGGAATACTCACTGGATATATTTTATACATCCTTGAAGGAAAAAATATAAAATTTTCAAGAACCTTCCTGACAACTGCATGGATCCTGTGTCTTACTGAAATTTTAGGTGTCATTATTGGACAATATCCACTCCAACAAACAAGTTACACTGAAAACTCAATCCACGCTGATGCAAGCTACAGTGCATTCCGTAGAATATCATGGTGCCTGTCTGTCTCATGGATCATCATCGCATGTCATCAGAATCGTGGAGGAATTGTGAAGAAGTTCTTGTCACTCTCAATTTGGCTTCCCATCAGCAAACTGTCATACTGCATTTATTTAGTTCATCTTCCCATTCAGCTTGTTTTTCTTAGTTCCATTCGTGTGCCACAATATTTTACTGATTTCCGAGCACTCCATAATTTCTTGGGTGATTTTGGATTGGCAGTGATTGTTGCTTTTGGATGGGCTTTGATGTTCGAGTATCCAACGATGAGGTTGATTAAATTCTTTTTGGACAAACGAAGTGCTAATTAGAATTGATTGGGGGGTCTGGACGTTTTCGTAAGTACGGTATTGCAAACTGACATTGCTTTATATCTTCAAAATATTTCTTTAACCCAAATTTACTGATGTAAACTTTACAAAGGGTAATAAACTTTTTTGTTGCATTTGTTTTAAACCTTTGTTTGATATGCCAATAAAGTAACAATTAAGCACTTCCAATATCAGGATAGTGAGTTGGAACAGGTTTCTATGACAGTACCCAAAGCACCTTGAGCATCCAAAGAAGTAACCATAAAGTACGAGTGTCCACCACACATCTCAGATAACCTTCTTCAAAAAAAGCTCTACATTGACACAGAACAAAATTAATTGGACATAATTGCTTCCAAATTTCGTATCTGATACCAACACAGCCACAATCTGTGGGATTCTACTTATTTTCTTGGTCAATCAAATTAATTGTGACTCAATGTGCAGGATACAAAGTGAATATATTGAGGACAATTACAATAAAGGAAGTTTGTGGGCACGAAAGCTTAGAGACTCTTGGGGAAAGTTCCCATCTGGAATATTTTCTGGAAATTATTTTGACTTTGGACATTATGATCAATGCATTGATTTTAAACATTTTTCTGAGGATGTTGGAAAAATTCAAGGACAATATTGCCTGATTAAGTTTCCGTATCAACAAAAAATGAGAAATGATGTGTCTTATGTTCCTAGATTTGCAGTGGATCCACATTCGTGAGTTCAGAATTTTCTTTGCTGAATATTGTATAAAAACCAATAATTATAGTTCCGAAGTTAACATCGGAATTGGAATTTGTTTCCCTCAAGCATGCAATCATGAAGACATAAAAGACGTTGGAAACTCAACCTTAATGACATTAATGAATATATCCTTGCCTTCCTCATATCAACCTGAATTGTTTTGCAGTGCTAAACGTGACAGCTTCAAGTTCAATGCTCTACAGATGAGCGTACTGTAAGTAGTCAAAAAATTCAGGTAATTTACTTTATTCCTTAAACTCTAACTTTTCAGTGCCATATTCTGCGTAATTGTGATCTTGATTATTTTAAGTACATTATATGAAGTTACACGCAACATTCTTAGTCATCCTATAAATCACCTTTTTGCTTCCTTTTCATTGTACTCAAACTCGAAGATCATGATGACAATGAAGCCTTTCTCATCCAAAGAAATGATGTTCCTGCATGGAATTCGTGCAATAACTATAATTTGGATCCTCTTCGGTCACACACATCTGACTTACTATAACCTTCCAGCTATCAATTCACTGTACTTTTTTGAATGGATTAGAAAGATTCCAGCTGCAATTATCTTGACTGGAACTATGGGTGTTGACACTTTCTTCTTTATGTCATCATTGCTGCTTACTATGAGTGTATTTAGGGAATTGGATAGAACAAAACGCATTAATCTCCTTCTCTTATACCTAAAACGTTACATCCGCATCACTGTTCCATTGGCAGTTATGATAGCCTTTACAGTAACCTTCTACTTCCACTTGTCTGATGGACCATTATGGAATATGCTCATAAACAAGCTTGCAACTGATTATTGTGAAAAATGGTGGTGGTCGACACTGCTTTATGTTGGAAACTTTGCGAATCCCAAGCAGCTTTGCTTTGGACATAGTTGGTATTTGCTGGTAGACATGCAGTTGTACTTCTTGTCACCAATAATTCTGTATCCTTTATGGAAATTCAAGAAGCACTATAAAGTCATGATTCCAATGATATTTTTCATAACAAGCTTAGGCATGATTTATGTCTATTTGGTTATGTATCTGAAAGAATTTCGAGTAGCAGGAAAATTATATGGAAAATTCTATTCATGCTGATGCCACTTACAATGCATTCCGTAGAGTCTGTTGGTGCTTATCAATCTCATGGATTGTCATAGCTTGTCATCAGAACTGTGCTGGATTTGTAAAGAAGTTCTTATCATTATCAATTTGGCTTCCAATCAGCAAACTGTCTTATTGCATTTATTTACTTCATCTTCCAATTCAACTTGTTCTACTCAGTTCCTTACGTCAACCACAGCACTTTACTGACGTCCGAGGTGTGCACAAATTTTTTGGTGATTTTGGAATAATATTTGCAGTAGCTTTTGTGTTTGCATTGATGTTTGAATATCCAACGTTGAGATTAATGAAAGTATTTTTAGATAGTCGGAATGCTGTTGTTCCTAAGCCAATATCGCAGTCATAGCTTTTAAATATCCAACCCTGTAAAATTAAATATAAACCAAGACAATAAACTTCTACATGCAGTATTAAATATGTGTGCGAAATGGTTGATTAAAACTTATCATTGTGCAAAATACAGCCAGCTTTAAGTATTAGATAAGAAAGCTACTCTAAATTAAATGAGACGGAATAGTATTACACATGTGAAGGTTAAATTGTGAATCATACAGAAGACCATCTTTTATTAGACAATCGCCACAAAGATAATGTTTTGTGCTTTTTTGAAGTGTTTTGTTGGAATCTGGCTACTCTTTGTCAATACTAAGGATCTTACAATATTTAGCGCTTAAGAATGTATGGGCAAGAATTTTGCATATGGAATGTCGTGAACATAGTTTAGCTCCTCATCATGTCAACAGCACTTAATGAAATAATTCAGAGTTTGGCCTCTGGTAGGAATCGAACCTACGTGTTAATAACAAAAAAGGGATGTTGTTTTGTGCAATCAATCGACTTACTCTGGCACTGACTGTTTCACCTTCATATGAATATACTGAAGGGGATTTAACACACCCCCCCCCCCTCCCCTCGCCATTTAAAAAAATTGTTCAATTTCAATGCACTCTACATGACCCCGGAAATCCCTGAATACGTTCCTGCGTCACTAAATATAAAGCGAACTTAAAAACACAATTTGATAACTTTTAGTGCGTATTATCGCTATATTTATAGCTTGGCTCCAAAAATTGAGTAAACATATTTGTTTATTAAAAAAGTATGAAATATTGATTAAAATAATACAACCTCACAGCTTGTCACAGACGTAATTAAAGCTATCATTTTTCCTAGTAGCACTTCAACTTACTAGATAAAGTGAGTGGACACACAATTAGAAATTTTTATATTTTCCAAATTTCTCCCTTATTTTTTCATCAAACCTATTAAAGTTACATATTTTTGGAAAGCTTATATGATGACTAGAAAAGTTTTGGAAAATTTGCAAGTAATATAGTCACTTTATGTAAAAAACGCATTTTACATATGCAAGTTTTTAATGTTTTTCATTTTTCTCAGCAACGACTCCATGAAAAGCTTTCAAATTTTGCACACTCATTGCTTATATAAATTTTAATAACTCGTATAAGTTTCAGAATTTTCCATTGAGTTTTTCACGAGTTTTCCTAGCCTGAATTTTTCACTATTAAAATTCGTTTTTCTCGATAACTGCGGATTGCTATTAGTTGTTGTTCATCTTATTTTCTTTCATTTTTTAATAGCTTTCCATTAATATATAACAATTTAGGAAAAAGTATGAGACAAGAGAGAAATCAATAAAAATGTATGAAAAATTTCAAAATTCTCCGCCATCTTGAATTTATTTTGCTTTTTCTGGTTAAACTAATTAAATTTCATAAAAGTGTTATACATTTTTGGAAAGGTCTAGCTTAGTACTTTCATTCACTAGAAACCGCATGAGTCTACGATTAGCACAAGTAAAATTATAGGAGCTTGAAGTTGGTAAGATAAAAAAATTTCAAATTTTCAAAAAAAAAAAATTTAAAAATATTAATTTACTGCTTTTTGTTTTTTTTTTGTCTTTACTATATTACTTGCAAATTTTCCAAAACTTTTCTAGGCATCATATTGGAAATTTGATAAGCTGTCCAAAAATATGTAACGTTTAATGAAAAAATAAGGGAGAAATTTGGAAAATATAAAAATTTCTAATTGTGTGTCCACTCACTTTACTTTAAAATGAATTTCACCATTCAATCATAAAGTACACGAAAACCATAATAAAAGCTGATATAGAAACTTTATAAATCGAAGCAGAGCTAGGTTCTGGCTTTTGTGTTGTTGTCGTTGCTGGTCCAAGTGAATAATAATTCAAGAAATTTTTGAAATCTCCAACTGAATGGTACCTTAATTGAACTTTAGATCCAGATTTAATGCACATATTTTTTCCACCCAACACGATGCCAGCAACTTCATGGTCATTGCAAATTAATGGTGCACCTTGAACGACCTTGCATGCATCAACATTTGAGTCATCAAATATTGAGCAATAAGCTTGCTTTCCTCCACTTCCATAACATGAACTTGGTCCAATGATAAAAACTTCATCCAACGATGGACTTGAAAGGTGAACATTTCTTCCCACGATTGTACAATTATCAGCAACTTTCGGTAACATTCCGAGAGCTTTTGGCTTAAATATTGAGAATAAAGGTGGAGATGTCGTGATAGATAGTGGATCGAACTGCAAATTTAATTAAGATAAGTCAATACTTTGTCGTAGCAATAATTAAATCCATTTACCTTAATCAATGCTATATTATTAGTCTCATTATCTGTAATTTTGTAATTCTCATGCATCCACACTGTCGTTTCGTCAAACGTGATCGAATCTGGGAATGCGAATAATAAGGAATTTAAAATTAAAATTTTTATTAATTAAAAATGTGCTTAATAATTTACATCCGATATCATTTGCGCTTTCCTTGATTGTTTCAAATTGAATGCCAATTTGGGTTTCTTCATTTCTCGCGACACAACTTGCCGTTGTAACCACAAAATCTTCTAGAATCAAAGTGCCAAGACATCGAAATTTGCCTGCTGTTTTCGATCCATTAACAATTGAATATTCCACAATATTAACTATAAAACGGTTGGTATTTGATGTGCTGACTTTCTGTTGACTTTTCGGTGAATACAGGAACGATTGATCTGTCAGATAGACGGAAATCGTAATAATTAAAAAGGTTAAACTTTTCATTGTTTTTAATAGTTGAAAGTATTTTTAAAGACTGGCAGTTTCATATGATGGTCCCTATTTTTCGCATGTTTATCAGCAAGCTTATCAATTTAAAGGAAATGATTGGTTTACAATACTTGATTAAGATTTTTGTCTTTGTATTGCGATAAAATTATTATTTATATTGTGAAATTCAATTCTGCTTTTGTTTTTTATTGTTGAATTTGTGAGAATGGACAAGTACACGTAGTTGAAGGAATTACAAAGAGATTACGTGGACTCTATTGATAAGTAAATCTAATCTAATCAATAGCAGAGAAAGCTAAAGTGAGTGGACACACAATTAGAAATTTTTATATTTTCCAAATTTCTCCCTTGTTTTTTGATAAAACCTATTAAAGTCATATATTTTTGAAAAGCTTATCAAATTTCCAATAAAATGAAAAGAAAAGTTTTGGAAAATTTGCAAGCAATATAGTCACTTTGGGGAAAAAAACGCATTTCATATATGCAAAGTTTTAATGTTTTTCATTTTTCTCAGCAACGACTTTATGAAAAGCTTTCAAATTTTGCACACTCATTGCTTATGTAAATGTTAATTTATAACCAAAACTTTTCTTTTCATTTTATTGGAAATTTGATAAGCTTTTCAAAAATATATGACTTTAATAGGTTTTATGAAAAAACAAGGGAGAAATTTGGAAAATATAAAAATTTCCAGAGGTCGAAGCGAGCATAGCGAAGCGAGTTCGCTTCGCTAAAAATTCAACTTGCTAAAGTCGACCTGTAGCGAGAAAATTTTTTTTTCTTTTCGCCTTGGCGAACTATAGCGAACTCAATTTTATTTTTTTCGCTTTAGCGAACTGTTAGCGAACTTAATTTTTCAAAGTTCGCTATAGCGAACTATTGGCGAACTAGAAAAAATTTTTTGGCTTCATGTAAAGAGATGTCTGATTGCGTTTGTGAAGTATGTAATTTCATATAAAATTGCAAAAAATAATAGTTCGCCAATAGTTCGCTATAGCGAACTTTGAAAAATCAAGTTCGCTAATAGTTCGCTAAAGCGAAAAAAATAAAATTGAGTTCGCTATAGTTCGCTAAGGCGAAAAGAAAATTTTTTTTCTCGCTACAGTTCAACTTTGGCAAGTAGAATTTTTAGCGAAGCGAACTTGGTGAACCAAGTTCGCTTCGACCTCTGAAAATTTCTAAATGTGTGTCTACTCACTTTAATTTTACTTATTTCAAAAATTTTATGACGGTTGAATTTTCAAATATTTTAAGACTATTAAATGTTCAAAAATTTTATTACGGTTAAATTTTCAAATATTTTTTGAACGTTAAATTTTCAAGTAATTCTTGACAGTTTAATTTCAAATACTTTTTCACCGTCATCTTATTTTCTGTTCATAATTTCAAGTACATTTAAAATAATTTAAATCGTAATTGTTTAAATGACTAATGTAAATACCATTTAGCACTCAAGACTGCATTTATAAAATCATTAAAGCAACTTAAAATCCAAAAATTCCTTCCTCAATCATGATTACACAGATTCTGTGCAAAGAAACATGTTAAACAGAAATTTTTATCTTCACAAAAAAAAATATTAAAATTAAAGAGAAGAAGTCGCATAACATTAAATAAGGTGATTGGCGTCGATCGAACCTCATCATCGTATTTCATCAAACAAAAAGAAAAAAAAAGAACAGACGGCAATATCGTCATCATTTAGTTTTATATATTCTTTTTAAGAAAACATACAGTGAAAATTACCAATTTAATTTTATTTTATTTTAATATAAAGCGCCGCAAACGAAGTCATGGGAAAAGAAGAGACAAAACAGACGTGGAGAAGGTCTTCTAGTTAAGTGTAATTAACAAGCAACTCACAGCAATAACATGCGTAGATACTTTTGTTTTTAATCTTCTTTTCACAATTAATTGTTAATTTATTTAAATGAAATTTCTCATTTGCCTCATCGGACTTGAGCCCTTCTTCTCGCTTGTAACTCAATTATTCTTGCTATGCCTCGACATGGATTTCCATTTCGATTGACAAATATTGCTGTCATATAAAAATGGGGATTTTGTTGTGCTTTAAATCTGTGAATCAAGTTTTTCTCCTTAATGAATAAACAAACAAGTGGATCTTAGTCTGATTAATTGATACAATAATCGACAAATATCAGCGAAACTTTCGAAAAATCAGAAAGGAATTTGAATATTTTAATCTGGCTTGACAGGGATTGGTAATATGGGAAAAACCCTTTTTAAAAAAATTGAATTTCTGAAGGAAGAAATTTCGAGGGTGGGGCTTGATACCTCTTGGACCCCCCCCCCCCCCCCCCTTACCCATACCTAGCTACTCAAAAAAGTAATATAAAGCAAAATCCGATTGTATTAAGGTTACCTTACGCTAGGATAATCTTATTCACAGTTTAGTTCGGGAGGGGGGGGGGGTCCTAACCTAGGGCAGTGGTGCCCAACCTAATTTAAGTTATGGCACACCGTAGTGATAAGCCATGCCAGAAACCGAACACAGCAAACAATTCGTGAGATTTCTTGAATGTTTTTGTGGCACACGGGTTGACCATCACTGACTGAGTCAATAACGAGATATAGAACTACTAAACGAAAGACTTAGACATTGTTTAATCTATTAGATTAGGAACTTCAAGATAGATCTTGTAAATAATAATTAAATAAGCATCCAACCCCTTCAAAAATCTCTTTCTTCTTACTCATCGATTCCGTTTGTCAGAATACCAATTTTTCTCATCATTTAAGGTGCTTTAAACATAAATTTTTTTGTTTGTTTGAGTTAATTCTTCTATAACAAGAAAACGACATCGTTACAAAATGATAATGTCTGTTGTTGATGATGATGACAACGATAATGATAGCAAAAGCAGAAGAGAGAGAGATCATATAAATATTCAAATTGTGTTATGAATGTTCCTCTTTAAAATGAAATTAAAAATATTCCTACTGCGGTGCGATATTGCTCGGTATGGACAAAAGCAGCACACACCGTGATATTCGCAATTTTTATTTTATTTTGACATTGCCGCAGACATTTTCAAATATTGACTTAATTATTATACAGATTTAATGGTGATTAACATTTAAACTGCGCTTTGTTGCTTGTTTTTTTCGGTTCCTTCTTCTGCCGCAAATGAAAATTAATTGATTTTTCTTCAGCCTGACGACAATTGCGTTCGATCCGTGGGCAGTTTGGATCTAATTTATTGGATGTGCAATTTTTGTGTGTAAGAATCCTTTTAGTAACTTACCGACACCATGAATGGATATTGGAAGTTGTTTAGTGAAGCTATTAACATGCCAAAATAAACATGAGAAAGCAGGCAAGAGAGAAAGACACAAAATCTTAATTATTAAAACATTTCACCGCAAAAATGTCTCGAGGGTGGTCAATAAACACGCAGTTTATGCTTGATATGGAAACTCAGCACATTTTTAAGCGCAGCCGTTTTGGAGTAAAAAGCAGTTCAATGGCTCACATTTTGTTCTTTTGAATGACTGACTGGATAAAATGTTGGGGAACTAGCTTTGACGCAGGCTAGGCATCTGGTAAGCTGAAAATAAAACTTTATGAATTTGAATTTCAAAAAACCGTAAAAAAATTTGGATCTTAAGAAGTTAAAAACTTAATGGCAAAAACTGGCAAAAACTTTACAAATTTGAATTTCAAAAACCGTTAAAATTTAAATCTCAAAAAACCTTTAAAAATTCAAATTTAAAAAAACCGCTAAATGACAAAATTCAAAAACCCTTCAAAAATGCGCCTTAGCCTCCCTAATAAGTAACAAAAAGCACTTTTTAAATTTTTTAAAGCATTCCAATTATTGATTTTTTTAGTTGTGATAAGCATAAAGGAACTAAATGAAGTGATGCGAAATGGTGCTAATTATGACCATTTTAGCAATCAACGTGTGTGTGTTGTGACATTCGATATGCCATGCCCCGTTTGAAAGATTTAATTTGGTCTGAATTGAAATCAATATCTATTAATTAGTCACATGGCATTATTAAGCATAAAATTTCATTTCCAAGTCTGTAAATAATTATTATTTTGTAGCGTAAATGGATCAACAATGAGAAGGTAGATTGCGATACTTAAGCGTCCATCAATTGGCACTTGATGTAAAGTACGAAGTGAATGCTTTCATGACACATCAAAATCCGTTCAATTGATGTTCATTAGATGATGAACTAGATAGTTTTTCACATCTCTTTTTTTTGCGAAGAGAAATGATGAATAGGGAATTACGGAGTGAAACTTCAGTTCACTTAATTGAGTTTGCTCTTAAGATATACTTCTTTAGAATTCTTCATTGGACATTCTTGACCAACTCGTGAGTCATTTCCGTTTTTATTTAGTTCAAATATTTTTCTCATCTTGAAATGTAGATAAGGCATGTTTTGGAGAGCTTGATGTGATGTTTATACCGAGAAATACATGATAGGTTGGTTTTAAACAGTAACTATTCAAAGATGAAGTCTAGGATGACCACCATTAAGTCAATAAGCTTTAATTTTAAATTATGAAATAAGAAATAACTTCACACTTAAGTGTATCTAAACTGCGAACCTTAACCAGTGATGATCAACCCATGTGCAAAAAAAATCGGGAAATTCCACGAACTGAATGCCGTGTGCGGGTTTAGTAATAGCTTACCATCAAGGTGTGCCGTTCAAAACAGAGTTGAATTTGAAAGACTAAGGTCAATTTAGCAAAATTGTCAGTGCGAGGGTATGATTCCTATAGATCGAACGTTGCGACAAAAGACCATACACCAGAGATCATCTTTTGTTTGTGAGTATGTAGGTTCGATTCCCATCAGAAGGTCATTCTATCAACTTCTATGCAGTATAATGTCAACTGACGAGCATTTAATATGTTTTAAACATTGTCCGAACATTAATCTAATCGCAATGTTGCTGTTAAGATTCGAACCCGAACTTTTTTCAATGGGTCAATCTTTTTAAAGTTCACTATCTTACCAAATCATCCATTGAGCTCTCTATAGAATCATTGATAATGTTCAACCACATTCTTCGAATCATAACTCCA